AGCCCTCCCTGGGCTTAACTGGGGATCCGAAGCCCTCCCTGGGCTTAACTGGGGATCCGGAGCCTTCCCTGGGCTTAACTGGGGATCGGGAGCCCTCCCTGGGCTTAACGGGGGATCTGGAGCCCTCCCTGGGCTCAACGGGGGATCTGGGCAGCCGGCTGGCTTGTCGTTGCGGTGACTGGTGGGCTTGAGAGAGCCACAGCCGGCGGGCTGGAGAATGCCACGGCCGGTGGGCTGGTTCTGGCTCGGGGCCGGATGCTCTACAGACACCGGAGGATCCCTTCCCTCCAGCTTAGTCTCGTGGTGTCTTGGTGGTCCACGGAGCGATGGTAATTGGCCCCGTGCCAGAACAGTAAGTTGATGGTCATCTAAAGCCGTCGCCGCGGCGAACCCGGGCATACTCGACAAAGGGGAGATCTCTGCGGGCTAGGGCTGAGAAACGTGCGGTGATTTCCATGAATGCGGGGAGAAACAGGAAAAACAAAAAGACTTTTCAAAAAACGGAAAAGAACCACGGGGAGAATCATAATTAATAATTCCTTACATTTATATAGCGCTTTTCTGGGCACTCAAAGCACTTTACATAGAAGGGGGGATCTCCTCAACCACCACCAGTGTGCAGCATCCACCTGGATGATGCGACAGCAGCCATATTGCGCCAGAACGCCCACCACACACCAGCTTATTGGTGGAGAGGAGACAGAGTGATGAAGCCAATCAGTATATATGGGGATGGTTAGGAGGCCATGATGGTCAGAGGCCAATGGGCAAATTTGGCCAGGATGCCGAGGTCACACCTCTACTCTTTTTCGAAGGACATCCTGGGATTTTTAATGACCACAGAGAGTCAGGACCTCGGTTTAACGTCTCATCCGAAGGACGGTGCTTTTTGTCAGTATAGTGTCCCCGGCACTACACTGGGGCGTTAGGACCCACACAGACCACAGGGTGAGCACCCCCTGCTGGCCTCACTAACACCTCTTCCAGCAGCAACCTAGTTTTCCCAGGAGGTCTCCCATCCAGGTACTGACCAGTTCATCCCTGCTTAGCTTCAGTGGGCAACCAGTCTTGGGCTGCAGGGTGATATGGCTGCGAGAAGAGGCGCCGCTCACTTTTTTGTTTCTGGTCCGGTATTCTGTCACGTGTGCGCTACTGTGGAGGAGCACGGAGCAAGGAACGAGGAGACCAGGAGTACAATCCAAACACAGGCTTTAATCACATCAAGGGAGCCAGGAAATCACATGTAGCGGGAAGGAAGACATTAACAATATCAGACGCCGAACTGATAACAAGGAACACTATGTATACAAATGACATGACGATGGGATCACGAGACACACCTGGGATCAATAGAACTGAAAAGGGGACACCTGGAACAGATAAGGACAGGAACGGGAAGGACCAAATATGGGCATGGAAGGCACATGGGGAGCAAGACACACACAAAACACGGAACAAAGTCTGACTCATACAGTATATAGTCATAATTATGAGATAAAAAGTCAAAATTATGAATTTAAAAGTCGAAATTGACACACTAAATCATAATTGTCATATTTTTTAAAAACTAAATTAGGAGTTGTTTTTTTTTGCCTTTTTATCTCATTAGTTTCGACTTTGTCATAAATTAGAATGTCATTTAGTATGCCATAAAATTGTCAATTAGTATGTCATAAAGTAGTATGTCATTTTAAAGTCATAATTATGACTTCTTATGTCATAATTTTGACTTTTTTATCTCATATGACTTAGTATGTCATAATTACGACTTTTAAAGTCAAAATTTCTACTTACAAAAGCATGATTTTTTTGGAAGCTTGTTTCTGCCATAGAATAAAAAAATAAAATAATAAAAAACACTTTTTATTTTACAGTTTTTACTTTTGTCCTCGCAAATTCTCAGAATCGAAGAAAAAAAATCTGCAAATTGTGAGATATAGTGAACTCAGAATAGCAAGGAAAAAGTCAGAATTATAAGATAATAAAGTTGCAATTACCCTTTTTATTCATTTATATCAAGTCGAAAATGACAATTATGCTCACTGTGCATGCACTGAAGTTTAGTTCGGAGTACATAAATGCACATGTAAACAAATTTATAAAACTTATTGCAGGGTTTATATAAAGCTCATCCAATCAGAACTTTGCTTTATTAAGCATATTTCATAGTGTTTTCACGCATTCCTGTAACTCAAACAGTTGATCACAGCGCTAGCAACACCATGCAAGGTCATGGGTTCGATTCCCAGTTAATGCATTAACTCATAAAAATGAATGCAAGTCGCTTTGGATAAAAGCGCCTGCAAAATGTATGAATGTGAATGTCATGGACAGTAGTGCTTCAAAGTACTTTACACCAGAATGAAAAATGAAAAACACAGACGTGAAAAATCAAGTTAAGCTCATTTAAGATCATAGGTTAATTAAATACGGATTAAATGGTGGTATAAAAAGGGAAGAAAAGGATAGATGTTGCCAAATCACTCATGTGTGCGCAGGTGATAAAAATCCATTTTACATTTTATCCTCGAGTGAAGAGACGTCTATGAACGGCCGTCCCAGAATTCCTCCTGTAAAAAGACCATTAACATCACATTATGCAGATGGTAAGAGCCAAATGCATGTCGAGGGCTAAAGGCCAACCGCAGCACATTTAGCAGTCTGACTTTCATCTGCCCTGTGAAGGCTGTTTTCAATTAGATTCCAGCTAATTTCATTCACACCTTCATTCACCTGCTGGAAATGCGTCTTTCTGAGCCCGAGTGGCTCCGTGTTCCAGAACTGTGCTTTAATTGTCAGTGTTCCTCCAGCTCCCGCACCGGACGTCCTTTAAACGGATCAGCAAAGTTGCTTTAGAGCTGCTGGCTTAGTTTTTAAAGCTACAGGACCATCTGCAGAGTTTATCATGGGTATCATTTTATATTAAAAGATGGTGGGACTTTCAATATAGCATGATTAATGTGTATGTATGTATGTATATATATATATATATATATATATAGTATGAGATCATGCTGGAACAAGTTTAAACAAATTGATGTGCATGTTATAATTGAAAAAAATAATATAATAAAAGTATATACAGTATATATACAGTATACATATATATATGTATATATATATATAGGTGTGTGTGTGTGTGTGTGTGTGTGTGTGTGCATATATATATATATAGAGAGAGAGAGAGAGAGAGAGAGAGAGAGAAATAACATGCACAAGAATAGAAATAAATGTAGATTTAATAGAAAATAGATTACCAACTTTTTTACATATATTTTATTTGTTAAAATAAGCACGAACCTTTTCTATCTTATTAGTCATGTCAATGGATAAAATTTAGATCCGAAACTAAATTGAAGATGAAATAAGTGTACATCAGTGGATGTCTTTCAGGAGGAGAGACATTTGTGGTTTAACACAGTACATTTTCCCATTTTCAACAGAAGAAAGTATTTTCCTTGTTAAAAGGCCCCCTATAGAAGTGTTTGTTTAATAATACTGTTCATTTGGCATTTGAGGTTACTGTTGCTTTAAGAAGGCTGTCTCTCTCTCTCTCTCTCTCTCTCTCTCTCTCTCTCTCTCTCTCTCGTTCATCTCCCCTCACCAGCATTTAGGAGGCAGCACGAGTGCCGGGCGAGAAACAGACAGATTCCTGCTCCGCCGGCACGTGAATGAAGACGAGAAACAGAAAAGGACAGCGAAAGAGAGGAAGATGCACTCCAAAGATTACATCCGCAAAGTGCAAAGGACAACAGGAGAGAACGGAGGAACCCAAGACAAGAGCTGGATCTTTAACTGGATTGTCCCGCAGAAGTAAGTGCGCCCAAAACACCTCGGAGGAATTGCCACTTAATTTCCAGAAGTTCAAATCTAGGAGAAAAAAAGTTTACCAGGCCGATTGGATGCTGCTTGTAAAAGGACAAGAGGGTAATTCACATGCATGTCAAGCAAGACTTTTTCAGTTCATTTTATCTGTTTATAAATCCAAGTCATGAGTTATGTTTCCGTGTTCTTCTGGTTAAAGAGTGTTTCACTCGCAGGACACTAATCACAGATGATTTCGGGGGAATTGCATGCAATTTGAGCATTTAAGATGATTTAAAATCACTACCATGGAGCTCAGCATCGATCCGGACGCCCGTCTGTCCGTTCCGGGTCAGACTGCAAACGTCTCCACCTCGTCGCCTTTGCTTAAACAGACTCACGCAGGCGGGTTTAAGAAAGTGTGTCGGATCGAAGAGGAAAGCACGTGTCCGTTCCCTAGCCTGCCGGCAGGTGTGCTGGAAATGAGGGTGAAGGAGGGCAGCAAGATTCGCAATCTCATGGGCTTCGCCATGGCACGCATGCAGAACGACGCCTGCAACGCCGGTCAAACCGGACTGAGACAGGTCGTGTTCACCGGGTCCGGACGGGCCGTGACCAAAACCATCACGTGCGCCGAGATCATGAAAAGAAAGCTCGGCGGCCTCCATCAGATGACCAAGCTGCAGTACAAGGGTCTGCGAGAGATCTGGGAGAGCCAAGAAGGAGGAGATTCGGAGGTGACCGTCCACCGGACGCTTCCCTCCATCAGCATCCTGCTCTCCAAAGACCCGCTGGACCCGCTGGAACCGGGCTACCAGCCTCCGGAGAATGGCTTGTGGGACGAGAGGAACGGAGGAGAAGCTTCGCAGGCGGCGGAGAAACGATCTGTAGACTCGTCTGAGACTCTGACGGAGCCACAGGCGAAGAGAGTCTGTCTCTGAGGATCATTAAAGATGGTCGTTTGCACCGAAACTCTCTCAGAAACAGCCTGACTGACTTTCATAACCAAACACACATGCACATCACATCACAGTCTTGATTTAGGAGTTTAAATCCAGATTTTGAGCATGCAAGGTATAATCAGACGAGCATTCCCTGGAAATGCATGAACTGAAAATGCATAAATGTAATAAACATTATTTAAAAATACGACGAGCAAAAATATTTGTATTTTATGTTTAAAACTACTGGTTTTAGTGTGGAGCCGGTTTTCTGACCCAGAACCACATTCTTTGGTTGAAACCGGTCCGATCCATGCAAACGTCTCGGATGGGCATCAAAGTGAGATGGAGATGATATCAGATGCTTCATAACAGGTCATTCTGCTGGAAAGATGCTGTGTTGTTTTATTAGAGAGTTGATAAAAATCATGTTAAGATGGAGTTTGAGAGCTGACCCAGCTCATAATCAACCCACAAATAAACATGCACATCACAGTCTTGATTTAGGAGTTTAAATCCAGGTTTTTGAGCATGCAATTTAATTCGTAGATATAATCAGACGAGTGTTGCCTGGAAATGCATGAACTGATTAAAAAACTGGAACGCAGTTGGAAAAATGCTTATATTTGCTAAATAATGCATAATAATGCAATTTAAACATTATTTAAAAATATGACTAGTAAAAGTATTTGTATTCATGACTAAAACTACTGGTTTAGCGTGTTTCAGATTTTAGTGTGGAGCAAACTTTCTGACCCAGAACCACATTCTTTGGTGGAAACGGGTCCAGGGCTGTGTTTCCCAAAAGCATCGTAAGCTTAAGTACATTGTAGACCCATTGAAACCAATGGAGCTACGATCAACTTACACTCTTAAAAATAAAGGTGCTTCACGATGCCATAGAAGAACCTTTGTTGTCTAAATGGTTCCATAAAGAGCCTTTAACATCTGAAGAACCTTTCTGTTTCACAAAAGCTTCTTTGTGGCGAAAGAAGGTTCTTCCGATTATAAAAAGGTAAGAAAGAGATGGTTCTTTGACTGAATGGTTCTTTGTGGAACCAAAAATGGTTCTTCTATGGCATCGCTGTGAAGAACCTTTCAAGCACCTCTATTTTTAAGAGTGTAGGCTTACAATGCTTTTGAGAAACGCAGCCCAGATCCATGCAAACATCTCAGATGGGCTTCAAAGTCAGATGAAGATGATTTCAGATGCTTCATAACAGGTCGTTCTGCTGGAAAGATGCTGTGTTGTTTTGTTAGAGAGCTGATAAAAATCATGTTAAGATGGAGTTTGAGAGCTGACCCAACCCACAAATAAACATGCACGCCTTGCTTTGAGTTTCAGTCTTGATTTTGAGCATGCAACATCACTAAATTAATTCATTGACTTCAATATAATCAGACATGCATTTCCAGGAAATGCATGAATTTACTAAAAACTGGAATGCAGTTGGATAACTGCATAACTTTGCTAAATGCATAAATGTAATGTAAATGCAATTTAAACATTATTTAAATATATTAAAGTCAAATTTAATGAAATTAATATTTATGTATTTAAGACTAAAAACACTGATATTACTGGTGCAGAGACCAGCAGGTTTTAATGTGGAGCCAATTTTCCGACCTAAAAGCGCTTTTTCTTTGGTGGAAAGCATATGATATTTATGAATAAAACTTCTGAGGGGACTGGTTGCCAGAGACCAATTTCCAGGCCAGAACCGCTTTCTGTTTGGTGGAAATATGCAGAACTGGTCTAGATGCTTGCAAACATCTCAGATGGATGTCGAAGTGAGATGGAGATGATTTCACATGCTTCATAATGCCTCATGCTTCTGGAAAGATGTTGAGTTGTTTTATTAGAGAGCTGGTAAAAACCTCGTTAAGATGCAGTTTGAGATAGGAGTGTTTTTCTGTTTTCATTGTATTATTTCTTACCTCAGCAAAAACCAAAAGCAGCAGCATGCAGCTCAAGCAGACTGACAGTTCCTCAGAGCTTCAGTGTGCAGTTTCTGTGCAAATAAATAGTTTGCGCCTCATGCTTTCTCTGTGGTTTTAACCGCACAGAAAGTGCCACCGTGTGCAACTTTCCTGTGATGAGTTCAAGCGCTTTTATCCGGACAAAACCTTCCGTTCCAATAGAGCGGCACGTCGTATTACAGCACCAGATCCTGATAAATGTCTTTTGAGGGATTTATTTGAGGGACGGTTGATTTAATTACATGCTGCCTGATAAGCTTCTACCTGCAGACTGAACTAACCTGTAAGTCGCTGCTTTGACTCGATTACACAATGTCACCATCATAATGCTCGATTGCATTTCTGAGATGAATAATCTTCTGGAAAAGCAAACATCTAGTCTGGCAGAATGTTTGTGGGGAAAAAGCAATTTCCATCTTAAGAAGTAGAAAAACGTTTTGTGACAGGCAGAGCATTTTCAGTAAACATCACTCAGAGGTCTGTGGTCCTCATGGACGCTTTAAAAATGGGAATATTATTTTTTCCAAGTCAACATGAAGGTGACTTATTCACTTCTGTGTTTTGAAATCTTTCATTAAAATCAATTGCAGCATGCGAAATAGTGCCGTCAGTCAAATTTCTGTCAACTTTTCCATCACTTCTCAATGTTCTGTTGGAAATGCATCATATTTAATCATTTAAAACTAATGTTGAATTCATTCAGAATGACAGATTATGGTGGAATTTCTATGTTGCACCACAAAACAAACATTTATTGATTCTTAAATGTTTGATCAAAAAGGTTTCACAAAACAAGACTTAATAGCTCATGTAATTTTCCTTCTCAAGTAAACGCATCTTTAGTTGTACTGGAAAATAAGAATAATAAAATCATTGTTTGCAATGTCATCTTCATGCAACACTTTTATAAATGCATCTTTGAAAAAGACAAAAAAGCATGAAAAGAACCATTAAAGTGTCATAAAAGCATGACTAATAACATATATTTAGGGTTGGGACCAAATGTAATTATCTAAGATTATTATTTGTATTTTTTAATATTTATATCCACTTGTTTTGAATCTTTAATTTAAATAAAATAAATTGCAGCATGTGAAAGAGCACCATCAATCAATTTTCTGACAACTTTTCCAATTAATTCTTAATATTTTGACGAAAAGGCATTATATTTCATAATTAAAATCTAATAATGAAGTCATGTTGGATCACAGATTATGATGGCATTTCTATGTTGCACCACAGAACAAATAAATAGACATTTATTGACGTTACTCTTAAATGATGTTTGGCCAAATGGTCTTGTTTCTACACAAAACAAGACTTAATATCTCAAGTCATTTTTCTTCTCAAGTAAATGCATCTTAATGTAAGAATGTTTAGATATTTGTACTGGAAAACAAGAATACAATGCAACCATTACAGTATCATAAAAGCATGACTCATAACATATATTTAGGTTTGGGACCAAATGTAATTATTTAAGATTATTATTTTTATTATTTATTATTCATTATTATTTATAGCCACTTCCTGTTTTGAATCTTGCTTTTAAATCAAATTAATTGCAGCATGTGAAATAGTGTCATCAGTACATTTTCTGGCCTCTTTTCAAATCAGTTCTCATACTGAGAATGATAATGCATCACATTTCATAATGTATCTGTAGAATCACATATTATGATGAAATTTCTGTGTTGCACCACAGAATAAAATCATAGGCATTTATTCAGATGATCCTTGTCAAAAATACAGTATGTTAAAGTAGAGGCGCTCACATAGTGATGTCAAGACAATTCAGTGACGTGTGTGTGTGTGTGTGTGTGTGTGTGTGTGTGTGTGTGTGTGTGTGTGTGCTCGCTTTATGACCCCTCTGT